CTGTTTTTGGGGTCGCTGATTACGAATTTGATGTCCGTTTTGGAAAATCCAAAATGGCGGATCCAATATGGCGGACGAAAAAATAAAAATTCAACCGGATTTGCTTAAAACTTGCTACTCGGGGGTTTTTGGGGTCGCTGATTACGAATTTGATGTTAGTTTTTGAAAATACAAAATGGCGGATCCAATATGGCGGACGAAAAAATAAAAATTCAACCGGATTTGCTTAAAGCTTGTTACTCGGGGGTTTTTGGGGTCGCTAATTACAAATTTGATGTTAGTTTTTGAAAATACAAAATGGCGGATCTAATATGGCGGACGAAAAAATAAAAATTCAACCGGATTTGCTTAAAACTAGAACGTTGATGTTTTGTGCCTATATTCATAACTAGCAATCTCAAGAGGCCACAAGTAACCATTTTCAACTAAATTTAATTAATTTCTTAATCTTTGTCCGCCTTATTAGATCCGCCATTTTGTATTTTCAAAAACTGACATCAAATTCGTAATCAGCGACCCCAAAAACCTCCGAGTAACAAGTTTTAAGCAAATCCGGTTGAATTTTTATTTTTTCGTCCGCCATGTTGGATCCGCCATTTTGTATTTTCAAAAACTGACATCAAATTCGTAATCAGCGACCCCAAAAACCCTCGAGTAACATGTTTCAAGCTAATATCAATAAAAGAGGAACACCAAATATGTAAATAAGATAACTGTAGATTGTTGTTGAAATACATACCGTCATAAATATTGTTATAACTTTTGTTTTTGTACATATTTTTTAAAAATCGTTTTGGGACAGTAATTCTATGATACTAAGGAACATTTTTAAGCAAAAAAAAAATCGATTTTTTTGAAATTCTAAACCAGAAAGTCCCCTTAAAGGGGAAGAGTAGCGATTTTAGATGCAATATTGACCTTTTAGAAAAAAAATTATCTCTTAATGTTAAATGACATTAAATATAACTAAAAACAGGTTTTTTGCACTTTTACGTTAAAATATCTTGAAAATCTGACGTGCAGGGTCTATTTTGAGGCCGAATTCGGATCTAGCACGTCGAAAACCTTCGGAAAAGTATTGTCTGATTCTTGGAAAGTAAATTGAATTAAATTTATTTGGCCTGTGTTACGCAAATAATTTGTATCAGGAAATTGATTGACTCAAATGAGAGATTCAGTGTAATTTTCAATAAAGCCAATGAAACAGCGCAAAAAGTTGGCGTTGAATTGAATATTCCTCTTCGTGTTGGAAGTCAAAACAATCGAGATAATTATGAATTTCGTGTCGGATAAAGTGAAAGTGTAAGTGAGTATGTAGTTACTCAGTTACGCTTTCACTTTTTCCGAAACTAAATTTAATTTTTCCGTACAGTTTCACTTTTTCCAAAACTAAATTTAATTTTCACTTACACTCTCACTTCACTTTTATTAATACTAAAAATTACTTTACATTTTTACCAAAACTTAATTAATTTCACTTACACTCTTATTTTCATTCACAACAAAACTAAAATTAATCAATTAAATAAAAGCAAAATAAAAGGGCGGTACGATAATGACCCATAGTTTTTTTATGGAAAATCGAAACAATAAACAAGGTATATTTTTTCCGCACTGCGTGGCGGAGCTTTGCGCAAGGCGAAAGTTTCTCAAGAGTTGAATGGAGAAATGGTAGCTCTTTGCTTTTATTTAATTTATTAATTTTAGTTTTGCTTGAATGAAAGTGAGAGTGTAAGTGAAAATTAAGTTTAGTTTTTGTAAAATTGTAAGTGTAAATAAAAATTAAATTTAGTTTTGGAAAAAGTGACAGTGTAAGTGATAATTAAATTTAGTTTAGATGAAAGTGTCAGTCAGTAACCAAGCATTAATTTTATTTTAAAGCATTAGTAAATAATTGGTTATTAATATTGATTTAATATTTGTTAGCAGTGAATAACCAAAGCTTGGAAAGTTCGGCATTTGTCTTGGCAACCAATATTGATCCAATATTGGCTGTTAATGCTTTGCAAAGACGCGATCATTCCAAAACTTTATCAATAATAGTCCAATATTGGTTACCAATATTGAAAAAACTGTTGGCGGCCAATATTGGACATTTTTTAGCCATTGGTGACCATTGGCAATTTTCCATTGGGATATTATTGTCGGGTTGTCTCAGAAATTAAAAATTATTACATCAGTTTAATAACACAGAAACAAGCATTACCAATAAACTCGTAAAAATGTCAGAAGATATTATTTTATTAACCCATTAAGGACCAGACGGACGAAAAATTTCAATTAACTTTGAGGACCTCGTTTTTTATTAAAATGCTTATATAAAAATTGACACATACCATTTTTAATGTAAAATTTTCTCCTCTATCAGATTCTGCTATTAAAATTTCTTTATACTAAATTGTTAAAAAGTTATAAACAATTTTTTCCAAAAAAACACGATTTTTCGAAAAAAAATTTCATTTCAGACGTATTTTCACCTGAAAAAAGTAGCTGGATACTCTTAAAAACTCAAAATATCACGTCCATGGACCCTCAGCTACAAAACCCTGGAGCGACCAATTTTTTTTCAAAATGGCGGACGCTAATATGGCGGCTAAAACTAAAAAAATGACTCACATATGAAACATAGTGCTCCAACTTTTTCAAGTCACTAAAAACGCCTGAAACTTGTTACTCGGGGGTTCTTGGGGTCGCTGATTACGAATATGATGTCAGTTTTCAAAAATTCAAAATGGCGGATCCAATATGGCGAACGAGTTTTGTAAAAATTAATTGGATTCACCTGAAATTCTCTACTCAGGGGTTCGTGGGGTCGCTGATTACGAATATGATATCAGTTTTCAAAAATGCAAAATGGCGGATTCAATATGGCGGATCAGTTTTGAAAAAAAAATTGAATTTACCTAAAAATCTCTACTTGGGGGTTCTTGGGGTCGCTGATTACGAATATGATGTCAGTTTTTAAAAATTCAAAATTGCGAATCCAATATGGCGGACGAGTTTCGTAAAAATTAATTGGATTCACCTGAAACTCTCTACTCTGGGGTTCTTGGGGTCGCTGATTACGAACATGATGTCATTTTTTCAAAAATTCAAAATGTCGGATCCAATATGGCGGATCATTTAAAAAAAAACATTTGGATTCACCTGAAAATCTCTACTCGGAAGTTTTTAGGGTTGCTGATTACGAATATGATGTCAGTTTTCAAAAATTCAAAATGACGGATCCAATATGGCGGATAAGTTTTGTAAAAATTAATTGGATTGACCTGAAACTCTACTCGGGGGTTTTTCGTAAAAATTGAACATGTATCGCTATTGGAAGGTACATTTTGTACTTAACATTATTTTCCATAAGTGACGTTTTTCTTCCGAGTGTCTTTGTGTATTTCATAACTTTATGAAGTTGACGGCGAAAAATTTCTATGTGGCTGATGTCCAGTTATCGGTTTAAAGTAATTTCAGTAGTTTAATAAATTTTTTTTTTAGTTATTAAGATTAAATGAATCATTATGAAACCTTTTTTTCTTCAAAATAGATGTACTGAACTACATAAGATAATTTTTATAAAAGATAATATCCTATTCTAGCTTGGAGAGCACACAGTAAATCTCCCGGGTGTCGCACACCCAGTGTGAGGTTTAAGGATGGATTCCTACACAGAGAGAAAAAACAAGGCTTTTCCCCGTGACTTCAATTCATGCCTTTTTCAGGTAGCAGTTTCACCCGATTTCCTGATGAATTTCTTGCGTTTAGCGGTTTGGCTACGCCTTAGCCCATATTGGCCTAAGCTCGTTGCAAGAATCTCACCGGGAAAACCGTGAGCGTCCTGCGATAATTTTCAAGCGTTAAATGTATATTTTTTCAGGGGGAAAAACCTTGTTTTTTCTTTCCGTGTATGTTTGCGCTTTAAGTGTTAAAATGTCGAATTTGATCAAAACTCGTCACTCGGGTGTTTTTGGGATCACTGATTATAAATTCGGTGTAAGTTCTTCAAAATTTAAAATGACAGTTCCAATATGGCAGAATTTTTAAAAAATTATCCTGATTGACTTAAAACTGTATACTTCTGGGTTTTTAAGGTCACTGATTACAAATCTTATGTCAGTTTTTTAAAATTCTAGTTCAGAGTTTTTGAGGTCGCTGATTTGGAAACTGATTACATCATATTCGTAATCAGCGACCCCAAGAACCCCCGAGTAGAGATTTTCAGGTGAATCCAAATTTTTTTTCAAAACTGATCCGCCATATTGGATCCGCCATTTTGCATTTTTGAAAACTGATGTCATATTCGTAATCAGCGACCCCAAGAACCCCCGAGTAACGAGTTTCAGGCGTTTTCAGTGACTTGAAAAAGTTGGAGCACTATGTTTTATATGTGAGTCATTTTTTTAGTTTTAGCCGCCATATTAGCGTCCGCCATTTTAAAAAAAAAATTGGTCGCTTCAGGGTTTTGTAGCTGAGGGTCCATGGACGCGATATTTTGAGCTTTTGAGAGTATCCACCTACTTTTTTCAGGTGAAAATACGTCTGACATGAAATTTTTTCTCGAAAAATCTTGTTTTTTTGGAAAAAATGGTTAATAACTTTTTAACAATTTGGTATAAACAAATTTTAACATCAGAATCTGAAAGAGGAGTAAATTTTACATTAAAAATGGTATGTGTCAATTTTTATATATGCATTTTATTAAAAAACGAGGTCCTCAAAGTCAATTGAAATTTTTCGTCCGTCTGGTCCTTAATGGGTTAAATAAATATAAAAGATATGTAAATATAGATAATATATTTATACATTTATGTCATTTTTAAGTGATTTTCTAGAAAAATATAAAAAAAACTCCAAGAATTACTTCCGGAAATTTCCAGGAATTGTACCTGAGAATCTTCTGGAAACATTGTGTAATTTTGTAGAGTTATTCTCAATTCTTATGTTTATCAATATCGAAAGCGAAAGAAGCATGTTTTTATTTTATGTACCTTCAAAAAATTCCAATTTACCTCAAAAAATGCACTTTTTGCAGTTCTTCTCATGGGACTAGCCAAGATCAGGAATCTTTTTTATATACATGATTGATATAAAAAATATTTTGAATTTCACTACTTGGAAGATAAACTCAAAAGGTATAATTTCTATGTATCTAATTCCGATTTTTACAAATAATTTTAACAAAAATCACTTTTTAAAGTTTTCCCCGATTTTATTTTTGTAAAACCGGAGTTTACGAATGTATGATTTTACAATGATTTTACTAATTATAACATATTTTTACTAATAACTTGTGGTATAAAATTAAAAAATGATATTTATGCTTAAATAATGTAAAAAAGGAATTTCTGGAACATGAAACGCTTTTAAAATGTTAATTTGACATAATTAAAAAAAGAAGAAACTTTTTAGGGACGTTTCTCCAACGTAGATGTTCTTTTTTACCATTGAGTGTTTTTTTGTGTTTTAAATGTTCAGGTATTATTTATTTAATTTATTCTACAACTGTATAACATTCACAAATTAATTAAATTGAAGTATTTAATTTTAAATTCTATATCGTAACCTCCACATTTAAAATTGGGCCGTCCAGTTAGTGTGAGGACGCTTAATAATTTCAGAAATTCTTCACTCAGGACTTAAACAATAAAGTTAAGCTTAAATACTTATTGATTAATTTATTTTAATACTAATTGATAAGATTTATAAGGAAAAATTTAATTAAAAATTTTTTTTTTAAATTAATTTTGTCAAGTATGACCACATCCTGAAGAATCACCCATTTAAGAAAATATGTTATGAATATATTATTATATAATATTTATAGGAATAAAAATTAGTATATATTTATTTTAAAAATTAAGAATTTAAGAATGGAAGTACAGAATACCAAAAAATATTATATTTTCTTTCATCTTCTCTTCTAAAAATTACTAAGAATTGTATTTTTCATTTGGAATGTTTGATATATTTTACTTTGAAAAAATCTAAGTTAAGGAGAGAGCATTTATTTCTTTCATGTTTTATCTTGGGTTTCACGGTCAAAATCGATTATCTCAGAGGTTCCAATGTAAAACTCTCGACTCTCACAATATTCGGCACCTTTTCCGCACTGTCCGTAAAATCACTTCCGGCTATACACGCTTCTCAAGATTCAACTCCGTAATGCAATTCAACGTTCGTAAAGAAAATTCAAGACTGACTTTGATTTGGCAGGACATGAAGTGGTGCAGTGAGAGAGAAGCAATCTTATCGACGCCTCCTGACGAGATAATGTTATTCCAAACGTCAGTTCAGTATAAATCTATTTGAAAAACAAGTGCAAGATGAAGTTAACTAACAAATTAATGCAAGACAATACTATTCCTTTCTTTAATTTAAGATAATGCTATCTCAAAATCCAATGCAATAAAATAGCACTAAAGGTAGCGTTCAATATGATTCCCTCTCGAAATATGTATAATTTCATAAAAAAATTTAGTACACATAAATATCCACTTACAAAATACTTTTAATTGTCAAATAATTTTAAAGGAAAGCATTTTCTTTTTTCCGGGCAAATTATGGATTTTTTTTTAAATTGGACTTTAAATTGTTAGATAATCAACTATTATTACCTAAAATATAAACAAAATCTAACTAAATAGATAAAAGTTATTCGTTTTTCAAAAAAAATGTATTTAATGTTTAATGCCCGGTAAAATCCACAATTTAAAAAATTTTTTTAAATCTTTTTTTCCTAAAATCTTTTGTCATAAAACACTACATTTATACCAAGTTTCACAAAAATTGAAAGACCCACGACCAACTTTAATTTTTTTGAGAATATTTGACCTTAATAATAAAAATATTTCCCTTTTGCTTCCTTATGAGGAAGCTTTGCATTCGTGACGATTTTCAATTTTTCAAAAGAAGGTTATATGGACTCATTTTCATCTAAAACATATGTATATTCAATTCTGAGCAAATGTCCAGATGTATGTGTGTGTGTATGTGTGTGTGTGTATGTCACAAAAATTGTGTACAAATTTCTTAGACAAATTTTGATGGATTGTCCTGAAATTTCAGAGGTTTATTGCAGTCATTAATACCTAAAATCTGACAAAAGGATTTTCAAAAATATCTACAAAATTTTTTTTTATACAATTTTTTTAAAATTCAGAAAACTTTTTTTTGGTATTTTTTGAAATAATTTTTTTATTTGTCAATATTTTCATTAATTTTTCTCAAAATTACATTCCTGACAAGAAAACGAATCGATTGATGTATACAAAGTATATATTTTATCAACATTTATAACATTAATAAATATTTTTCTTTTTCACAAAAAATTCAAATTTTGTATTTTTTTCATAATTTATTTAATATTAATGTTAATATTTTGTTATTAATATTTTATTAATTTTCACAAATTTTTATTTATATATTGAGGAAGCTAAATGGTCATGAAATGAACAACTTGTTTACTAAATCCTCAATACATTTGTAGTAATGTACAATGTGACTTTGCCGACGCATTTGTTACCGTGTTTACCACGCGCAAAACACGATAGATGTCGGTATCTACTTTTTTCTGTTCAAATATTTTATCATATTAATAAAAAATTTCAGGTGCACGATTTCTCCCCAAAACCCAAAACATCGAAACACTAATGAATCAAATACTAAAAAGTAGAAAAACCACAAGTAATAAAAGTTTATTTATCGAATGTTTATTTTATCAAAAAACTAAATGTTCGAATGTTTATTTAGTCGAAAAACAAAATATGTGAATGTTTATTTAATCGAAAACCAAACATTCGAATGTTTATTTTATCGAAAAACTAAACAGACGAATGTTTATTAAATTGAAAAAATAAAATTTTGAATGTTTATTTAATCGAAAATAATTTTTTTATGTAAGGAAATGCTATAAAGCAACAATGATTTAACTAGTTATTATCTTATGTTATCAAGTAAAAAGTTACAAATTTTCTTTAATAAATTTTCCAAAATTGCGGCACTGGAGCCATTCTAGTAATTCATGTTTTATGCAAGGTAAAGTTCTTCTACTGTTAAAAAGCTTGAAATTTCAATGAAATCGATTTCGGACATGTATAAAACCTTTTGTCGCTTATTCTAGAAAGTACGAAAAATTTTTTAAGCTAATAAAAAATAACTTTTTTGAAACATCTATAGTAACCCTTTAAGTCTTCATTACAGCTAAAGTATTTAATAAGTACTGATTTTATTTTGCAATAAGTAAAAAGAAACTTTCAATCAAGAAAAAAGTAACACTAACATAACCTTAATGTGATTTGCTTCTCAGGTCCCTTTCTTCAGATAGCTTCCCAGTAAGAAGTAAGGAATAAATAAGAATTTTTAATTTTTTTAAATTCTGTTTCTGACCACAATTTTTTTTTGTTTTCATTTGGAGAAGTAGAAAAGAAGTTTAGTTTAATTCTTTTGAATACCATTTTAATATTTTAAGCTGAAAAAAATGTGTTAGTCCGAAGATTTGAACCCTCAACTTTCATTGTCGGAGACAAATAGCTTGTCCGCTTAGCTAGCTAAACTGTACTATAAATACTGAATTTTAGACGTACTGATCTCAAAGTGTTGTAAACTTTAAGATAAAATAACTTTGAGTTAAAAAATTTCTAAATATTAAAACGAAATAGACAGGAATTAAACTTATTACCACATAGTGTTTCAGAATTAAAAAAAAATTTTGAATTAAAGAAATATTAAAACAAAATTGATTAAAATTGATTTTCAACAAAATTTTGCGTAAAAAAGAATACACATGAATTGGACAGAAACGTAATTCAAAATATTGATAATTTAACATTTTCTGTAAAAAGTTAAAAATTTGTCATTCTTCTCAATTCTCTACTTCTAACTAAGTGATAAATTAATTCTTTTTTTCAAGTTTTTGAACATAATAAATAATTTTATCTAATTTTCCAATTACTAATTAACTAATTTTTTAAAATAAATAAATTTAATAAATAGGTATAATTTAATTTTCCAAAATTTTTTCACATTAGTCATTTTATAAATTTTTATTTATCACAATTCAATATATTATATCTCAAAAGATACCTACTAATATTATCAATTTTAATTTTTAATCTTTTTAAAAAATTATTTTAATAAATAGGTTTATCAAAAATGAAAAAAATTGAAATTTTTTAAAAATAAATTGTACCTCTAGAGGTACTAGTTAGCAATTTTAATTTTTAATGTTATTAAGAAATTGTTTTAATAAATCTCTTTATTTATGTTTTCTATATTTATTTGTATTATTACCAAATATTATTTTTATAATTTTCAACAAAATAAAAGTTACTGCCCTGTTTTATCATACTGTTAATCCTTTACGTAGGCAACCCGCTCAACACTTCTCTGCGGAAAATTTCTTCCTCAAGTCACCTCTAGATGTAAATTTTCATCGCGGAAATAAGATTGTGGATTGTAGAAATATCGTAACGAGACAAAATTAATTTTAATCCAAGCCAAAACGCGGTTGTAAAATGTAAAATTGGAAAGTGATGTAATGCTAAGAATATGACAGCTGGACTATTGTGCTCGCTGCATGCTTCTGCTCTCTTCTGTTGACTGCCAGTAATCTGCTTTTTACTGTCTGTTATTACATTACTTTCCAATTTTACAACAGCGTTTTTGCATGAATTTAAACAATCTTTTGGATTACTGAGTGTTAGAAGATGATTACGCGTTGTACGTTGGCCTATTTTGTAAAAAGTGTCTGTGTTTAGAGAAAAAGTGGTTAAAAATGTTTGTTTACCTATTTCATGTTATTTAAACCAGCCAGTGCCATATTCTGTTGGAAAAGAACTAAAACATACAAATATTGTAAAGAAAAAGTGGTTTTGGGAATTGTCCCAATGTTTTCTTAGACAACAAGAAAAAGGATTTACTTTTTTAGTTAATTCAACATTTGGTTTTGAAGGCTCATAATCTCGTAGAAAGAATTGAGTTCCTACGGTTTTTGTTCTGGGAGAAACTTAAATGATAACATGACGTCAAACAATTGGGTCTTTAGGAATCTCTGGTAAATCAGTGTCATTAACTTATGTATATTCATATCTCTTTTCAGAATAACAACATTTATGAGTGGTACAAAATTGTTATT